AAAATATGAAATTTTATTTTTCTTTATTTTAGGTTTCAACTTGAATCAAAAATTGTAGCTATTGTTAGTGACAATGGTGGTGATATGCATTTCGCTACACAGTATCCAGAAATGTTTGGTGTTAGACTACACTGTTTAGCACATGCACTAAATTTAACTGTTACAAATGGTTTGCAATTATGGAAAAAAGGAAAAAAACAAGATTCAATAACAGATTTAACAAAGTAATGTATTTGTGTTGAAAAAAAATCTAACATTAATTATTGATAAGTAAGGGACAAAATGTTATTATAAAATATAAACCATCAAGATTTATTACTTCATCTTGATTAAGAAAAAATATACAAATAACATCGTTTTTCGACGGTTAAATCTAATGTGTTCGAGCTAAAAAGAGTAATACATTAGGGATATAAAACGCCAATAACAACTATGTTTTATTTGATGTTGATAGTGCACAATAGCCAAGTGTTTGACAAGGATTACTAGCACATGGATCATTTTCTTTCAATATTTCACAGTGTGTACCTGTAAATTCTTCTTGACAAAGACATGAAATTATCGGTGGATCAGCATTTGATGGTATGCATGTACCACTATTGTGACATATCAATGATGACTGACTACATGGATTATCTAAATAAAAGTCAAATGATTAATATGTACTAGAAAATGACTTTTCAATATACCATATTGACAAAATGAGCCAACTTTGTTTCCTGCACATAGACATGCAAGTTCAGTTGGTTATTCACTGCAAATTTTATATGATGGGCAATTCATATTCGCACAAGAACTAATTTCTAAAATACAACAAAGAAAACAATTGTTATCAAAAATTCAAAAAGGCAATTGCGATATGAAATTTTATGATTACCTCTATCACAATTTCGTCCATATATACCCGGTGGAGAAACACAACGATAAGCTGACCAGCTTGTACCTGTATCAATAAGTAATGTTGTACAGCCACCACCATTGTGACATGGTGATGCGGCATAAGAATCTCCTAGATCATGCATTGATATGTGGAGAAAAACAAGCAAGCAAGAAAAATATAACTTACGTAAATTACAAGTCGGAACGGTAAAACTTGTTTTACATAAATATTCACCCATCGTTGAAGCTATTTGTCGACACGTACCACCATTGTGACATGTGTTCACGGAACATACAGAAGCTAAACAAAATAAATATCACTTATTTTCATCAATTTACAAAAAAACAAAGAATTTATCTTCATTACTCCATTCACAACGCGGACCAGTATACGTTTCCTGACATATGCATCGAATGTTCGTAGTGCTATCATCACAAATACCTCCATTTAAACACACATTTGAATTACACGATAAACCCAAACGTATATCCAGTCTATAAACAAAAGCAAAAGTCAAAAATAATTTCTTTCATGTAAAATGATTCAAAATCCTACATGTTGAACAATCGTAATGACTATAACCCGGTGGACAAAGACATAAAATTATTCTCTGGACCAAGTGTAATGCAATGACCTTCATTAAAACAAGGTTGCTTTTGACATGTATTTGTATATTGACATCGATCGCCTGTTCCCTAGACTGAAAGGATAGGGTCTAGAAACCGTAATTCACCTGTGTCTGTCTGTCTGTCCGTCTGTAACAATGACACAAATGACCATTCCTGTGGCACAAAAGACCATTTCTATGGCACNAACAACGGATTTTCTGTCCTGTCCATGCATTTCTTCTCCTCAGCACTGTCAGTCTAGGGCTCAGTGAATCGACTTTCGATGTCGATGAACGTTACTTGTTAAATAATTCGGACAAATAAATTTATAACTTGGAGGATTCGTATTTTCCAGTTGTTGACATGTTGATAAATGACGACATGGCGAACTAGCACATGAACTTAGCAAACCTAAGACAAAAACAAATTTGTCCGTAAAATGTTGAGCACAGCTGATGATAATGAAGTAACAAGTCTCCATCCTTTCGTTAGAAGAGAACTACCTTATAACAATCACGTGCTAAAATCTTTAATGGATTTTAAGTCTGAAGAGACAGAGGAGGATCCGATACTTACTAGAATTGCATGATTGACCAGTTAAACCATTTGAACAAATACAATAATAAGATGAGACAGATGTTTGAATGCAAGTACCATCATATCCACAACGTTTGTACGAACAATTATTCATCGATAATAATGGTGTTTGACAAGATGGTCCAGTATAATCTTGAGAACATAAACAATAAGCTGTATTATTACTAGATGACGTATCAATAAAGCACATTCCACTATTTGAACAAGTTGCGTTTGTACATACTGGTTGAATTGTTTCACATCTGCGCAAAAAAAACACCATTCATATTTTTTTTCTAAAGAAAAATATTGATTAAATTTTCAAACTGACCGACTACCAGTTGTATTCGATGGACATTGACAATATGAAATATTAGTTTGTTCGTTTACTAAACAAGTTCCACCATTTAAACAAGATATCATTGAACAAGATGCTGTATCTTGTTGTTCACAATAAACTCCAGTTGTACCATTCAAACAAATACAACTAATTTGACAGATGGCCGATGAACAATTCATTGTAGATGAAATACATAGGCCATCATTTTGACATGGTGCTGAATGGCAACGATTTATTAAATATTCATATAGAATGCATTTCTTTTCTTTTTAAAAAAGCATTAATTTGATCTAATTACAATATTCACATTTTGTTCCCATATAACCAATTTGCACATTCACATCTGTATTCTCCATCATGTATATTAAGATATCGACTACAATTGCCATTATTTAAACAAGGATTTGGTGTGCATACATCTATAACTAAATCGCAGTTGTTGCCATCATATGGAGATACACATTGGCATGAATAACTATTTGATGATATTAAACAATGGCCACAATTTTGACATGGACTACTTGAACATGGATCTAGATCAAGTTCGCAATGTGTAATTATTTTAATTTAGTTCGCTTTTAAGAGTTAAGAACAAAAAACAAAGCAGTTTTCATTAATCACCTGTTGTACCATTTGAACAAAGACACGAATGATCACAAATCTTGTCAATGCAATTCGATGATGTCACACAAGTACGTTGATTACATGGATTTGGCAAACAACTATTGACTAATATAAATACAAATCATTGTAATTTTTTTCTTTCGTATTTTCTTTCTTTCATGTCACTTACTCATATCACAATGAGTACCAAAATAACCGCAATCACATTGACATTCGAAATCTCCATTTATTGTCTTCATACAATTTCCATTAATACAAGCATTTGGTTTACCTATATCACTGATACTTGTATTACATTGAACACCACTATAACCATCTAAACGTGTACAATTTGGTGTATCACATGATGCATCCATACAATCAACTGTACAGACAGTATTATTAAAACGATAGTCATAACATGGATTTTCCAGTGCAAAAAACAACAACAAATATATATTGCTTCTATGCTACTATTAACAAGCCTAATTTGCAAAGTTGTCCTCGATGTCGATCCGAGCACGAGCAAGTTCCATTAATTAAACAGACACCTCCATTCATAAATTGACATATATATGTAAAAGATCAAGATCAGGAGATAATAACGGTGTTTCACAAAATACACCCGTAGAATCTACTTTACATTGACAAATAAAATGATTTGCTGACACTTGAATGTAGACACCATTTGATGAACATGCATTTCTTTGAATGTCACAAGAATCTAAGACAGTCTATCAAAATAGAACATCAAATGAAAATTTTATCGAACCGTTTATAATTGCAAATATTGGTACACTACTTGTAGTAGTTAAAGCAGGCGCTCTTGAACTGAAATTACACGATAATGCTGGAAAGCACATTCATTCTCCAACATTTGATATGACATCTTGTAGACGTGGACACGAACTTGTTGTACAATCTGTTGTTAAACAAGCAACTAAATTAAGATTCATTTATTACGATGTACGTACAAGTGTTTCCTTACTTGAAATACAATGCATTAAATTTATACGTGTTGTAAATGGTTTTCGAAAAAAATGTTCTTGCAGTTTGAAAGTATTTGAATCATTCACTTGTGTATAAGAACCCATTGAGAACATTAAGTGTACGTCTGACAGAGAACTAGTGGCATCGGCGTCTCCTGTTGTGCTCAGTCGTTCAAAATCTACATAAAATGTTGATCCATAATATTCGTTTGAATATCACAATAATCTTGTTGACTATCAAGAGATGGTTGCATATCGTCGAGAATATCTTTACAAACAATAGACGCAAACAAAACAAAAGAGAAAATTTATTAAGTTATTTTCTTCTGGAAAAAAGTCGATGTTTTCTTGATATACATACCTATCTTGAACTATTTGAGTTCCAGGAAAAAACATTGCTACATCCATA